ATGCTCCCCTCTCGCCCGATCCTCGATCCTCGTTCTCCTTCGCCTCACCTCCGCCTTCTCCATTGCCTCCCCGCCCGGGATCTCGAGCCCTCCCGTCGTGGGCCCCCGGAGGTCCCCCGTCCGGGGACCAGGCAGGGCCCAGAAGAAACAACAAAGGACAATCAACCCGCAAAGGAAGGATCCGCGATGAGGCTGCCAGGGCCCTGGAAGGCCACGCCGAAGCTTTTCTTCGAGCGGGGCGCGGCCAACGGAAGCGGCCAAGGATGGGCCGGGGAGGCAAGGCTGCGAGGGCACTCCAGATCTCGTAATAAAAGGGAGGGGGTCTGGACCCTCCAAGACAAGCCATTTCAGACCCCCCCCCGTGGGAGAACCCTCCAAAACATCGTCCCCAGACCCCCCCAGTCCCTCCAAGATGGCCTGGAAGAGACCCCCCCCGAAATGAGACCCCCCTCCCTTTATTACGAAATCTGGGGTACCCTTGGGAAGGTTGCCCATGCTTACTATGCGGGCTGGCTGCCAGCTTCAACCCCAAACCTCGGTCCGAGCAGAAGCAGTTCCCCGTCAAGAGATGGGTCCTGAGGGACACGGTTCCCAACTTGTGCCGCCGATTCGGCCTCCCAGGGCCCAAGGGATCGTCAGGGTAAAAACCCAGGTGGGGACAGGACCCGCTTCCCTCAAGCACCCCTCTCCCGCAAACTCTGGGTTTCTTGACGAGCGGGGGGGGGGGGCCGACGCCTCGTCGTCGCGCCGCGACGGGGGTCGGAGCGCCTTCGGCGCGCAGTGGCTACCCGCGACGGGGGTCGATGTGGGGCTGTCGGCGGGGGTGACGCCCCCCCCGACGCTTATCAAGAAGCTCGGAGTACCGAAAACTCTCCATTGAGTTGAGGCAGATCTGGAACATCTCCCCAGGATGCTACGAAATGCCAACCTGGGACTTTCAACACTCAACCCTGGAACACTTCCAGAGTTGACGGCGCAATCCACGGTGGCCACAAGATCGCTGGCCAAGAACACCAGCCTCTTCGCGGAAAGCCCCAGGCTCCGTGAATATACCCGAAATGACGAGCATTCCAATGTGGAGAGCCCAAGTATGAAGAACTGATGGGCCAGGTCAATCAATATCGAATTGGAAATCAGGTACATCGGATGTGCGTCGCATCAAACTTCATCGGCACGGAGTCGGAATCGAATCGGTCGCACCAGGACGCACAACAACGTCATCCAAACATCAAGCCGCATCGTAACGTCGGAATACCGGACCGAACTGGCTTGGGCTGGCCATGGGCGCTTGGCTGCTGGCTGAGCCTGCAGTCGGCCCGTGTCACGAGGCTGCGCGGTGCGGACGCAGGGACCCCGGACGCCCAGTTCGGAGCCTCTCGAGCGGGGCGCGGCCAACGAAAGTGGCCAAGGGTGGGCCGGGGAGGCACGGCTGCGAGGGTACTCTTGGGGTTGACTGTATCCCCCCTCTGCCCATGCCCATGCCTACTCTGCGGGTTGACTGTATCCCCCCTCAACGCTGCCCCCGGGGGATGTGGACGATGGGAAGGATGGGGAAGGAGGAGGCACCATCTCAGCGCGGCCCCCCCCACCTTTTCTGAAGGGGTTCTTCGCGAGGACGCGGAACACGGCGAAGTACTGCAGCGTCAGGTAGGCTGCACGGGCCGGGTGCATCGTCGCAAGGTAGCCTACCGGGTCTAGGCTCAAGTACGCCACAGCCAGCCGCCAGCGCCGACCGATGGTCAGCGCACCAGTACGGCGCGCCGAACGCGATGATTAGAAGAAAAACGGCACAAACATAAACTTTTGGCACTCCCCGCGGATTTCTTGGATCTGCGCTTGACCTCCCTCCCTGGCGCGCGGAGCGCGCCAGGGGCGGCGCCCGAGGCGCCGCCGGGGAGGGCCCAGCGCGGATCCAAGAAATCCGCGCGGAGCGCAACAGTTTATGTTTATGCAGGGTTTTCTTCTTCTAATCATGGGAAACTGTTGGACAGCATCCATGAACGTCTCCGCCTTCTCCCTCTGCTGTTCCTCTCCTGTACCCGCCGCCCGCCGTCACCCTCCCACCCCTTCGCTGAACGCGGGGTATTGCGGGAGTGTCTTTCCAGAGGGACGTCGGCCATTCTTGACCTTCGCTCGGCAGGCTGAGTCTGAGGAAGGCGAGCTGAATGAGCCAGCACCCGACCTTCGTGCCATGCCCGAAGCGTTGCCGGTGCAGCTGCGGCGGAGGCAGGGGCCACCCTTCCTCTGGCCGCCTCCTGTCACTCCCATCCTCCACGTGTCCCTGCTTTGCGATCCCCCCCCCTCTCTGCCCCCCCCCGCTTTCTCCGCGCCCGTGGTCGTGTCGTCCCTTCGTCTGTCGTCCCTCCCATTTTTGCCACTGGGCTTAAGTCGGGCGTGTCCCCCTACAGGCGGATTGTGGGACGAAAAATAAACAAGACACGAACGATGCCCAAGAATAGTCAAAAAAGCAAGTTTACAAAACATCGTCCCCAGACTATGTTTTGACTATTTTTGAACACCCCTCCTGTAGAGGGACAGGCCCGAGTTAACGCTGGGCTCCTCTTGCGCTGGTAGAATTTGTGTCCCTGCTCTGCTCTGGCGGCGCGGAGGTCACGGCAGGCCGAGGAGGGAAGGAGGCATGGGGGAGGCAGCGGGATGGGGTCTAGTAGGAGCCCGGCCACACGAAGCCCTTCACAAGAAGCCCAACTTTGAGACCCGAGGGCGTCCATCGATCTCTGGTGTGGGAGCGTCACGCTCCCCATTACAAAACCATCGAAGCCCAGGAAACCCAGGACACCCTGGATGCAAGCAGGGTGTTTCTTGGCATGGATTCCCACTGCACGAGAGGAAAGGCCCTGCCGCCATCACCTTCCCAGGGCTCTGTGCTCGAGCCTTCCGAGGCCAACTGCTCGATCGTGCACCAGGGGCAGCGTGCAGGAGAAGGGGCGGGGTCAGGAGTCGAGCTGGCGGAGGCAGCGGTGGACGAGGAGCCCACTCCAACAACTGCCAGGACGTACAATCGAAGCGCTGTCAGAAGGAACCCTACATCAGGAACGAGGCCCCTTGTTCCACAAGTGCAATTTCGATTTCCGATGGAAAACCGAAGGACAACCTAAGGAAACTGTAAAACAATTGAGAAACACTGAGCCCCTCCCCAACGAAAAGGGTTCCTTCCTCAGCGGCCCGACTGTAGTCCTGCAGACCTGAGGCAGGTTGGCTGTCGCCTCGCAGGACATCGGGGATCTTCCCACACGCGCACGCTTCGGGCGCCGCCGCGTGTGTTTTTAACAACGGATCTGCAACTTCCTGCCGCCTGCCTCCACCGCGTCACTACGAGAAGGCCTCTCGGGTCGAGTGGCGGCATGCGGCTTGGCTCTCCTCCACAAGCTCTGGGGGTCCCGCAGGCCTGGACTGGGACCCCCCCCGCTGCCAGCCGACTACTGCCTCGCCAACTCGATGCACACACGGCTTCCAAGGCGTCCGTCCCCCCCTGCCTCCGGGGCTGCCTTTCGGAGAAGCGTCGGCTCGGCGAGATACTAGAGCAGAACCCCCAAGTATGACCTCGGTGGCAGCGCACATCGCTGGAGTGCTCCAAAACAGTCGAAGAGAAGAATGGGATCCCGAACGCGTGATTAGGGGGCTATGAGGTGCAAGCGGTGAGGAGGATGCCGAGAACGAAGATCCCCAGATGACCTCTCGTGCTGTCCTCGCACAAGATAGCCATCTCTATGACCGCATGTATCATTCCCAGGATGTTTGAGGCTAGACTGGTAGGTCCTGGGCGAGCCTGATATCGGGTTCCAAAAAAACATGAACCAAACACAACTTGAACACGTTCCGTCGAATTTCCGCCGGCGGAAGCGGCCTCGTTCTTCTTCCGCCACCTTCCGCCGAAGAAGAGATACCAACGCCTTCGATTCACAAAGGCGAAAGCCTTTCTCGAATGCTTTAAATCCAGATGTTCTGGAATTCCGGAATCGCCCACAGGGCCTCCCGAGAGGCAAACAGTGTCCTTCGACGGGCAACACATCGTTCCGACTCCGTCCAGCATCACGGTGTTCCACTTTCGTCATGCGCTCCTTTCTCATGAACCTCAACCTGCTCCCTCCAACTTTCTGCTCCAACTCTTTCCTCTCTCCTCTCTGCTTCTCCTCCTCCTCGGCCTCATGGTCCTCATCCTGTTCCTCATTATCCTCTTTTCTTCTCCTACCGGATGTGGCTCGGCCCGGGCCCCGGGCTGTAGAAGCTGGACAGCATGTCGATACCCAACACGATGCGTATGCACAACAACCCCGCCGCCCATGAGATCAACTCCCCAGGGCCAACTAAGATGTACCTGGAAACAGAGGGCACAAAGGAAGCACAGCGGACAAGAACCAACGACCATGCCGACCTACGTAGTGCAAAGCATGACCGCACCCTTGGACCGCTGAAGATGCGCCCAACACCCTCCTACCACACATGCTGGACGAGTGACCCAAAATTCCCAGATCGGGCTTCCTCAACTTCTCCGCGTAATCGTCTGAATCTTGGTCTCCCTCGCGACACACTTCATAGAAGAGGCACGCTGCGTATATAAGGGTCGAAGGGCGCGGCAGGGGCGGTGCAGGGGGAGCCGCCAGTGGGGGTCCAACGCCAACCCAACCCGCATGGACCTGCGAACATGCATGTGTATGCATGTTTGCGTATCTGTCTCTTCCAATTCATCGAAAACCGTCCGGTAAGATACATAACAAGCTAGTCTTAGTGGCACCACGCGCGCCCTGCGGGGCGGAGGTCACGAGAGGAGAGAAAGCGTGAGAGCCAACCGTACAGGCTACCAGGGAACTAAACGGCACGCCCAATAATGTCGGTTCCAACAGAGCGGCCCTCGAATGTGATGTCGCAATCTTCATATCTTTTTTAGCTGCGACTGATGAATCCAATCATGCACAAAGTACAGGGGGGAATCCTAAGACTGCCTTGACGCGAGGCTCAATGTTTGCCCTGCGAGCCCGGGGTCACCTCAGGCCTGCCTCGCGCGTGAAAGCCGAATAGTGCTTCAGGAGAAACACGAGCTGGAGAGATTGCACGCAGTACCACTGTGTGTCCAAGTCCTTCTCCTGGGGGGCACCGTCAGATGGAAAAACATGACAAATGAATGCGCGCATGCTCTGAAAACTGGGACGACACCAATCGCACTTCTGGGGGGTGTCTCACCGACGCTTCCGAATGCAACAAACGGCAACAACTTAGACAGCGGCTGCAATGCCGTGACAATAGTAAACGATTGCATGTCTCTCTTAGTCCACATCCGTGACTCTCCGTGAACCTGGAACTGGCTGGCCATACAGCCAAGGCGATCGGCGCCCCGCGAAGTGGGCTTGGGTCGGGGGATGGGGCATGACGCACGAGAGAAACTGAGCGCCACGGGGACATCAACATCGGCTTCGGCTCGTGTCGCCTGCGCGGGTGCGAAAGAGACCCCTTCCGTCCTCCTCTGGGCACGTCCAGATTCTCCTCCTCCTCCTCCTCCTCCTCCTCCTCCTCCTCCTCCTCCTCCTCCCCCTCCCCTCCCCCTCCCCTCCCCCTCCTCCTCCTCCTCCTCCTCCTCCTCCTCCTCCTCCTCCTCCTCCTCCTCCTCCTCCTCCTCCTCCTCCTCCTCCTCCTCCTCCTCCTCCTCCTCCTCCTCCTCCTCCTCCTCCTCCTCCTCCTCCTCCTCCTCCTCCTCCTCCTCCTCCTCCTCCTCCTCCTCCTCCTCCTCCTCCTCCTCCTCCTCCTCCTCCTCCTCCTCCTCCTCCTCCTCCTCCTCCTCCTCCTCCTCCTCCTCCTCCTCCTCCCTCCTCCTCCTCCTCCTCATCCTCCTCCTCCTCCTCCTCCTCCTCCTCCTCCTCCTCCTCCTCCTCCCTCCTCCTCCTCCTCCTCCTCCTCCTCCTCCTCCTCCTCCTCCTCCTCCTCCTCCTCCTCCTCCTCCTCCTCCTCCTCCTCCTCCTCCTCCTCCTCCCCTCCTCCTCTCCTCCTCCTCCTCCTCCTCCTCTCCCTCCTCCCTCCTCCTCCTCTCTCCCTCCTCCTCCTCCTCCTCCTCCTCCTCCTCCTCCTCCTCCTCCTCCTCCCGTGCCCATCACCTGCGCCCCGAGACCGTCCCACGGCTGCCCCGTGGTTGTCCCGCGAGTGCCCCGCGCCCGGCGCGTGCGTCCGCGAGTGTCCCGGGTGGTCACAGAGACGGCTCGATCGTTTTGAGCAGGGGCCGACCGTCCCGGCATTCCTAAAGGGCCTACCACGACATGATCTTAGAACCCCAAAACAATCTGAGAACAAAAGCAGTGTTCTTAGAGCATAAACCCGATGCTTTAAAACAAGACAGTCCAAATCAGAAACGTTCAAAGAACATTTCGTGGAAACCAAAAAAGGTTCTGAGAACATTGTTCGGTAGGCCTACAGGCACGCCAGGACGCTGCGCCACTGCTTGATGGTTAGATACATGGATTGTCCACGAGAGCCCTGAGACTGCCCGAGGGACCGGCTGAGACGGTCCAGGAGAGCTCCAAGACCCGCCCACACGTCGCACGAAGGGTCCAGCCAGACCTTCTTCGGGAGAGCTCCGCGTAAAAATGGCGCCAGAGAATGCCCTGAGACCTCCGACGGGCCCTCGACGGGCCCCAACGGAGCCGAAAGAGGATCATCGCAGCAAGCTTCAGAAAGAGGAGGGAGGAGGGGGGGGGAGGGCGACAAGGAGAAAGGATGAATGAAGAGGAGAAAGAGGGTGGGGACAAGGCAAGGGTGTTCATGATCCACGCCACATCAAACATGACACCGGACTTGAGCGGGTCTTAAACTCCTATCCTTCGTTTGTCTCTTGGGCTGCTCCGTTGTTGAGTAGGTTTCGGAGCATAGGACACACGTCAGCACACGTACGTCTATACATGCATACGTCTATGCATAAATACCTACACATGTATGTACACGTAAACAGCATCTAATGTTTATGTACTCAGACATCTGGATCAACATTTACGCTGTACCTGATTAAAGCCAACATTCATGCTATGTTTACACGCAACCACTTGGCCAGATTGCTAGACAACGCCGATACCAGACCAGCCAAGAACGCCGCAAAAAGGCCCCACGATAGCTCAGCAAGGTCTCTAAAGGGACCCAACACTGCGCAAGACAGCCTCAAGACGGCCGAGAGGGCGCAGAGACGGACCAAGAGGGCGCAGAGACGGCCCAAGAGAGCTGCCCCACGACTCCAGGGCGCGCGAAGACAGCCCCCAAAATATCCCCTAGCCAATGCTCGCACTTGGGGGGTCTTACTTGTGATGCTAGATGCGCGAATGCATGGCCGCGCCAAAACTTCGGCTGGTGCTCAACCGCGGGCGCCTCGTGGGCGCGCACTGCGCTGTGTGTGACGGGTTTTCCGCCAGCGCCCGCCCGCGGGCGCCTCGTGCATGGAGGGTGAGTCGGGTTTTCGCCTACTGCCCGATGGTGGGCGCTTCGTTTGCGCCACCGGCCGGGCACTGCATAGCTCGACCTGCGCAGCTTGCACCACATAACACACACCGAATAGCTTGCACGACGATCTGCACCACAGAGCTTACACCGCATGGCTCGCACCACATACATAGCTTACACCATTCAGCTTGCGCCACGCTTCTTGCACCGCACAGTTTGCACACACACACAGAGCTTGCACGATGTAGCTTGCACCATGTAGATCTTATCTCACAACTTGCACAGCACACTTTGTACCGCATAGCTTGCACCACATCGCTTGCACCACACAGCTTGCACTACACAGCTTAGACCACGCAGCCTGCGCCACATAGCTTGCACGACATAGCTTGTACCACAGGGCTTGCACCGCATTTCTTGTCGCACCTCCTAGCTTGCACCTCATCGCTTGCACCACTTGTCTGGCACCTCCAAGGTGCATTGAGTCATCTTTTCCGGTCCAGGCTTGCAAACAGTTCTCTCGGTTCTTCAAAATTTTTAGCTTCCCATGCCCTTCGATCGAAGGTCCGTCCACTTGCGGCCTTCGGGGCCCCACGGGGCCCCGACAGGGCCCTACCATAGTCTGCCTCCCAGGTGGGTTCCTGGGGGGGTCCCGGTGTCTTGACCCCCCCCTGGGGCGTGGTCCCCCTGTGGACAGGGGGAACTCAGGGCCCACCCCGTCCGCTCCTCCCTGCGGACGGGGGGGGCCAGGGGGTGGTCCCCCCCTTGGTCAAGGGGCAACTAGGAGGAGGAGGAGGAGGAGGAGGAGGAGGAGGAGGAGGAGGAGGAGGAGGAGGAGGAGGAGGAGGAGGAGAGGTGGGGGAGGAAGAGGAGGAGGTAGAGGAGGAGGAGGAGGAGGAGGAGGAGGAGGAGGAGGAGGAGGAGGAACAAGGGGACGACCACCACCGCTCGTCCTCTCGGACCCTCCTCCCCCCGGAGGCACCCTCCTCACTCTTCTCTGCTGCTGCGTGTTGCTGCGTATGTTCACACATGCCTCCAAGAGGCTTCAGATCCGCTCAGAGGCGGCTCCAACTGACCACGGAGCTTTCCAAGAAGTCCCCCGAGAGGCGCCCCACCAGAGCCCAAATGGCTCACAAGAGAGCCCCCAAAAACGACTCCAGGGCGTCAGCGTCGTCGCCGCCGCAAGGCCCTCCCAACAGTTCACATGAGCTCCTCAAGAAGTTGAGACGACACATATCATCTGTGTGACGGCCGTCTGTGCGCTGCTTGAAGGATCGCAACAAGTGATGCTTCGCTGGCACGGCGGCGGATTTGCCGCAGGCACCTGGACAGTGCTGCAACGCTGTGGCGCAACTGCAAACTTTGCGCACGGTGCTGCTATATGAATGCGTCCTAATGCTCGGACTCGTACACGTCTCCATTACGAAACTTCGCTTGCGTTGTTCAGGCTCCGTCGAAGCACTGGCTGGAACCACCGCTGCGATACGTAGAGAATGGGCGTACGAACACTGCGCGTCCTACTGATACTTTAAAGCCCCTGACCATAACACGAGCGTGCACGCTGTAATTTCCATTCGCAGTGGAATTTCGAAGCACGGCTCAACCGAACTCTTTTCAGGAACCTCAGCCAGGGACCACCGCAATATTCGATCATATAGCACGCCGAACATGGTTGTTATTCCCTGTCACCTGCTTCATATCAAAATGCTCCGGAAGAGCGGACGGAAACGGCACCGATACCAGGAGGCTGGCACACCCGAAAAACAAGCTCTTTGGAAGACGCGTTGAGCCATGTCACCGCGATACCAGCAAGTCCACCCGACAGTTGCGAGACTCAACGGTGTGAGGTTGACGGAGATGATGATGATGATGACGATGATGATGACGATGATGATGTGGCTGAAAGAGCGAAGCCTGCTGACAACCCGCGCCTTCGTTCTCCAACGTCTGAAGCATGTTGCGCCTCCCTCCCTCCCGATCCCCTTGGGGTGAGCGTCCATCAGCAAGGAGCATAGCACCACCACGAGGAACACGGAGCTGATGAGATCGCAGGCATACCTCGGCCGCGCGCTGCGGAATGGGCCCCGCTGCACTAGGGATGCGGTACAAACAAATAACATAGCATCGCTTGTGATGGGGGCGAGTTGTTCGGACGAGAACATACCTACTTATACAAGAAAAAATGCTGGGGATATCGACCTAGATGGCCTGCCGCTTCGACATGACGTAGCAACCATTTCAACAAGGACTGTCCAATGCGCGGTAACAGCCAGGGACTTGGGCGCACCAGCTCAGGCCGCCTAGGAACGAATACCCAATGCGACAAGCGCCCGTCGTGCCATCAACAAGCGCAGTTGGCAGGGAACATGTGGGAGCATGTCGCTGACCACACACGTGGTTCCAATCACAAACGAGTCAGGGCACAGAGGGGTGACCACGTCGCGAGGGCAGTCGCTCCCCGCCCTACACTTCTTGCTGCTGTCGCTGTCGTCGTCGCCACCGACTGGCGCGGTCTTTCCTCGACTCGCCCTGGCGGGCTGCTGCAATTCATTACCTCCTGCGCGCTGGATCATAATTACTGCCACCACTGAGCAGGAGTCGGGTAGTATGCCATGCTGCTCACTTAGTCCATACACCACTCTTCGGGTGATATGAGGTTTGTGTGTGTGGGGGGTGAGACATCATCTGTGGGTTGCAATTAACGCGCAACTTAACTCGCGAATTTGACCATCTGGACAACCATCGCGACAATCATCGGGGCAACCATCGGGACACTCATTGGAACAACAATCGGGACACCAATGGGGACACCCATCGGAACAACCATCTGGACAGCCATATGTGCAACCATCGAGACAACCATCGGGAAAACCATCGCGCCAGCCATCGGGACACTCAACGGAACAACCATCGGGAACACCATCTGAACAACCATAAGGACAACTACCATCAGGACGACCATCGGGACACACATCGTGACAACGACCATCGGGACGACCACCATCGGGACACCACCGGCACAACCATCGCGACAACCTATGGGGCAAGCATTCGCCATTGGGACAACCATCGGGACACCCTTTGAGAAGGCCATCGGGACATCAATGGGGACTCTCAACGGGGAAACCATCGGAACAACCATCGGGACAACCATCGTGACAACCGTCAGGACAACCATCGGGACACACATCGTGACAAGCATCGGGACAACCATCGGGGCAACAATCAGTTCAGTCATCGGGACAACCCTCGAGGCGACAATCGGCACAAACATCTGGATAACCATAGGGACAACCATCTGGACGACCATAGGGACAACCATCGGGAACTACCAAGACAACCAACGGGGCAACCAGCCCCACCCGATAATTCTTGCGCAGGGAAGTCCACACGGTTCTACAGGCGGATTTTGGAAGGAAAATAAAAACAGCATACAGCCAACAACATCAGAAATAGTCAAACACAGTCCAAACACCGTCCCATGTGTTTTTGTGTGTGTGTGCGACTATTGTTGTAATATTCCTCCTGTAGGAGACATGCTGGGATTGAGTCTACTTCCGCTGAGTAGCACAAGCCACAAGACGGCCGCAGAGGGCCCGAGCCAAGGCCAGCCCCAGAAAAGCCCAAGGCGGGACACGCGCCCATTCGCAGGCGGGCCAGACGTATCAAGAGGTCCAAAAGGCCCCAGGAGGCACTCGAGCAGCCCCCACAAAAAACCCAAGAGAGTCTCCATGCACCATGCATCAAGGAAGACTTCGGAGAGTCCCAGTACAGCCCCACTGAGCACCCGAGACAGCCCCAGGAAGAACGGCCCAAGTGACGGTCAGGATTTCGATGGGCCGGGGTCGATCTCGCCAGGTTCCCTAAGTCCTTAGGAGCGCTCGCCCCAGAACAGCAAGTGGGGTTTGGGCCTGGGATAGTGCTTGTATTGTTCACCAGCGCACCCTGAGGGGTCCCGATACTCCCGAATATAGCCGCAGAGGTTCCCGGAGAGGGGCCCCGGATAGCGTCTGTGCTGCCCACGAGCGCATCCTGCAGGGTCCCGATGCACCCAAATATAGCCGCAGAGGTTCCCAGGGAAAGAGAGAGAGAGAGAAACAACAAAAACAAAGGAGGCGGAGCAGAAGAAGGAGAACGGGAGAGAAAAACAGGCAAAGATATGGAGAAAGGAGGGGGAGCAGAAGGCAAAGGCATGGATAAGGAAGGCGGAGCAGGAAGAGCGAAAGGACCAGCCTGCCGGGTGTAAAGGAAGGCATCCTGGAGCCTCCGATGATGGCAGGGGCCGCCCAGCCCCGAGACAGGGCAGGCTCTCGAACACCTCATGCAACCGTCGTGCAATCAACCCGTATCGTTAGATCGGGCATGTCCCCCTAGAGGCGGATTTGGACGACAAAATAAAGCATAGTCAAAACACATACTCCCAAATTGCCCAAAGTAGTCAAAATACCTTCCCCAAGCTAGTTTTTGACAATTTTGGGATCTTCCTCCTGAAGAGGGACAGGCCCGACTTAACCGTATTGTCAGGATGCGCGATGAGGATGCAGGGGCCTTGGACGCCCATTTCGAAGCTTTCCAAGCTTTCCAAGTGGTCAAGGATGGACCGAGGAGGCAAGGATGCAAGGGTACACTTGGGAAGATTGCCCATCCTTGCTTTGCGGGTCGGCTGTATCGTTCATTGCTGCTCGTCCTTTGTGGGCCCCGGAAACGGCAGGGCAGTTTTTTCACCGCTTCCTCAAAAAAAGTCCACCATTGAAAATGGAAACGGCAAAACAACGGCGACCAAAAACGCAAAAAAAACGACCCCAGAATTGGAACCGGAGCCAGAACTGGTCAAACAACTGCGACGGAGCCGGTAAAACAACGGCGTCGGAACCGGCAAACAAACGACAAAACGGAACGGTTAAAAAAACGGCCCTGTCGTTTCCAGGGACCACTAAGTGCTCGTCCTTCTCCTTAACCTTTTTGGCGGCCGTTGCACTTGAAGAACTCTCCCATCGACGTGTCGTTCATGATCCTCGCCGCGTGCTTGCCGTCCAGGGCTCCGAGGAGCCAGAAGGCCGCGATCGAGACCACGCTGACCGCCGAGACCTCGCGAACAGGTGATGGATACGAAACGTGGGATCGGTAGAGTGTTGAGGATCATGAAGGGTGGGGTTGCTGTGGCAGACAGACAGACAGAGACACGAAACAAACCGATACATGTATAATTATATCTATGACTATATATATATATATATATATATAGAGAGAGAGAGAGAGAGACATATATACTTAACTCTAGTCAGCCGCTGCCTCCCTCACCTCTCCACTCCTAATTCAACCCCTGCCCGCCTTCTGGCCTCCGCCACGCCATGCTCCCCGCGGGAGCAAACGCTGCCTCTCGTGGAGGGGGGGGGACCTGCTGGGACGAACACTGCCTCTCTTGGGAAGGGCGTCGGAGGCTCCGGGGCGCCCCCAGGGGAACCACCAGGGGGGGCCGGTTCGGGGGGGAGCCCACCGAAATGAAGTCGGCGGCACGTCTCCGATATGTAGTAACGACAAACACCCATTGACGAAGCCGCACGTTCCCGGGCGGGGTGGGCTATTATGCCCCCATCGGCAACGAATTGGGCGACTGGGGGTCGATCCGACCAGCCATGACTGGGGGAGCTGTGGTCCTTGCCCCCCTGGGGGAACGCATCGCATCGACGATTTCTCGAGAGGGGTGTCGAAATCGATGGGTCCCCCAGGGGGGTTAGGACCACAGCTCCCCCAGTTGTGGCTGGCCTGTCGATGCATCACCCCCCGAGCCCATCCCCCCCACCTGCTGCCCAAAACCCTGGGAGTCGCCGTCGGCCCCTGATCTTCGCAGGCCGCAGGACGACTCATCATCCCGTCTACTAGCAGTCGGTCGTCCTGACCCGCCCCGGGTCGCCCCTGGGAGGCCACGGCCAGCCCTGGAAGCGTCCCCGCCTGCGCGTCGGGCACCGGGTTGCCTGGCCGGCAGAACTGCCCTCACATCACAGTGCACTGCTGGGCACCGTCAGTTGGCGGGGTTTTCTCCGCCAAGGTGAGCACGATTCCGTAGTGATCGCTCGGGTAAACGGGCACCCTCTTTTCAAGCCCTGGTATCTCCATCTCCCCCCCTGGAATCGGGTCGTCGCCAATAATGTCGAAATCCGCAACGTACCAATTCTTGAGTCGGAGCCAGAAGCGGTCGTACCGCAACCTCGCTTTGTTCGCGCGCGCCCAGCCGTCAAGCACAAACACCATCTCGTTCGCCGAGAAGTCGAAAGTGAAACCGTGATCAGCGTATCGCTTCCCAGAATGAATGCCGCCTGACTGTGACGTCTGAGCACCAACATCCTGGACCTCCCGCCGTCGCAGGAATTCGAGCCAGCCGTCCCGCCAAGGTTCTGGCAGAGGTATGTCCTCTCCGATGCCGATGTTAGTGTCGCCGCAGAAGATGACGTCCTCATTCCTTTCGAACATCCTGAAGACCTCGGCCGCCTGCTTCTTCCGGGCCAGTGCCATGTTCAACGACTCCAAGTGGGAAGTCGCAAACACCACGGGTCTGCCGACAACTCCGTCTTCTGCAGGTACTTCTGTCTCCAACCACAATAGATCTCTGCCCATGCTGCTGTCCCGAAACGCTTGCCGGTATAACTTGCTACTACGGTCGAAAGGAAAACGACTTCCCAACACTGTGAAATAGCCGGCCGACTCCTGGGGCGGCACCGGAGACCACTGATATTCGGCGTGCCACTCTGGCACTCCTCTCTCCACTGACATGTCCGCCGTCGTGAGCGCATTCCAGTGCTCCACCGTCATCTCCTGAAATGCTATGAGATCTGGACTGTGGTGCCGGATCAGATCTCCGATGGCCCTCATTCGCTGACCCATCGCATGCTCGCTGAACCAAATGTTGTAGCTAAGAACCTTCAGCACCATTTTGAACCTACCTGCAAAAACAATAACTGTGGCAATTGGCTCGAGCGGTTCAATATCTAAGTCCAAGCCGGCGTCAGATCCGCATGGAGGCACGCACTACTGTTTCTGCGCTGATTCATCGCCCCTTCAGCCCAGACATCTTGAGCCAAGATGGTCACGCGGGGAAGCCCCGGCACGGCGTGGGCCCCTGAGGAAGGCACGGCGTGGGCCCCTGAGAAGCCACGGGCAACCCCAGCTGGCCGTGGGAGACCCTGGGAGGTGAGTGAGAAGAAAGACAGGGGGCGCACTCAGTCTGGGACGCTCCATGGGGAGCCGCCTTCAGCTCTGAAGGGCTCATGCGAGGCCCTGTAGGAGGTCCTCGTATCTGCCTGGGAGGCCCTGGGAGGTCCCCTCGTGAGGAGGGGCGCCATCTAATTCGCCTGGGAGGCCTCTCTAGGGCCGGGGGGCTGTCAATTCCACCTGGGCAGCAATGGGAAACCCACTGCCAGGAACGGGCGTTAAACTCACCGAGGAAGCCATGGGAGTCTCCGCGACAGATGCAACGTATTCGACCATCGTCCCCGTGTTACTCATAGGTCTAGGGATGTCTTCGGCGGTTTTCGCACGGTCTCCGGCGTGAAACCATCCAGTCCATGATCGAACACCTGTGACATGGGGCGGGAAGTTAACTCTACGTGGGAGGCTCTGGCCCCATAGTCCCTAACGCCGCCTGATCCAATGCGTCAACACTGTTCCCCCTAAGTGCGCACCGACTGCCTCCGACTCCAGAACAGTGTCCCCAATTCACGCCAATAGAACATTCGCGACTAGGCCACAAGAGAATTGGGTTTCGTGGGACCTGGTTTAGTGATGTGTACTCGGGGAAGCCCCCCCGCCCCGTTCCACTAACCGGGACTGTCGTCACCCGAAAAACACCAGCTACGGCAGACCTGGTTCAGTGATCCTGGTCAATTTCAATGCTCCGGGGCTCTAGTCCTAACCGGTGGTTCCCCTTACCTGGGGTCCTGGCTACCTACACCCGACAGGTAAGCTGCCGAGAGACTCCCATATCGAAAGGTTCCAGAAGGCATTCATGCACGGTTGGCGCCTGGGCCTGCTCAGGTTGATCTCGACCTTCGGTTTGGCGGCCGCCCCCCCGACCCACTGCTTGCTCATGCACTTCCCTAACCAAGGCAACTCGCCTGGGGATCGCAGCTGGATGGGCTGGTGGGGATACGCGAGGCGTCAAAAGGATCCCTGCAACTTCTATGCTCGGACTGCACTCAAAAGCCCGTTCACGGTCCCCCAAAGCAAGGTGCCGTAGCACCCGCGTGAGGGACGCTTCCCTGGAGTCGTACCCCCAACATGTACCAGAGCCTCTAGGTACGCAAGCAAACGGTAAGAACCCTCGAGGGCAATCTCAACTAGGACATGAGAAGCGAATGGACAAATTCACCTCCACGAGTAGGCTACTGCCGCAGATTCGGATGGTGGACCCACTTATGCACCCATGGCCAATTGCCAGTGCCGCCCCAGAGTGACCACGAGAGGGTCGGTGTCGGAGTAGTTCTCGCAGAAGTACCACGCCTGAGACGGGAGCGACAGCACACCAAGGCAAGGGGTGCCCAGTGCAATCTGGCTTCTCAAGCATCAGATCCAGCCCTTGAAAGGCGGCACCCTCAAAAGGGTGGATGTGTGGTGCACTCCGCCTCCTCTCCGTCCTGCTCCTGCTTGCCGTTCCTGGTGCAATTGCTGGTTCAACTCCTCCTTCCATCCTCGACCTCCCACCCTCTTCCAGATTGACGACGGGAGAGGCGAGGAGAACCGGGCAATGCGAGTAGCGAGGAGGCAGAAGAGCAACAGTCGGCACACACGAGAACCGTCGGATGTCCGCGCTCATCCAGTGGATCGACGCCGGACCCCCTGCCCTGGCGCGCGGCGCGCGCTCAGGGCGACGCAGGAGGCGCCGCCGGGGGCCACCCGAAAGAGAGATCCGCGCGGGTCTCCGACGGTTTGTGCCTGTGCCGACTGCTCGTCGATGAAGGGCCCCCAGGACACACAAATAAATACACACAAATAAAAAGACTCCCCATATTTTCCCATATTTTCTGGGTTTCTGTCTTCCCCCCCACTTCCCATATTTTCCCATATTTTCTGGGGAATCGACGATTAATTGTGTCTGTGTGTTTCTTCCCCTCCTGAGTCGAGAGGTGGCGTTAGCCGCGGGAGTCTCCCGGGCCCCCCGCGCCAGGGCGCCGGGCCCCGCGCCTGCATGATCGCGATCGAGCCGCCGACGGTGAGTGCGTTCGGGGCGACATTGTCGGGCACGAACTGCACCACCCAATTCAGCAGGGGGTCCGTCACTCTGCCAGACACGGACTTATCGGTGATGACCTGTTGGGGAGGAGCGGGGTGGGATGAGGATGACCGGAGCGGTCATCGTCGAATCGACAAGTCGGGTCGGATCGGAACTCGCGTCGGTTCGGGCCGCATCGGCACGGAGCCATAGTCGAACCGGATCGTCCGCGCCAAGATTCACAACAACTCCATAATTACGAACATCGGGCCGCATCGGATCGTCGACACGTTGGACTCTGATCGGACCGGGCCAGCCAAAATCGATCTCGGATCGGATCGATCGGATCGAACGACCCTGGGATGAGGGGAAGAACGCCTCCCCCGATCTTCCTCCGCGCCCTTGCACCACTCCAACGGCGCCAATCTCTCACGACCTGCAGCTCGCGTGGGGCCTTCTGCAGCGCACATAACGCCCAAAGGACACGCCACCTAGTAGGAAAGCTGCAGTTGCGGGTGGGTCCAGCGAGGCTTCGCCACGTTGCCGCCCATTGCCGCTTCGTGCGCTGGGTGGTTCTGGCAAGGATTCGCCGTTGCCGCTTCGTGCGCTGGGTGGGTCTAGCGATGTTTCGCAACGTTGCCGCTCGTTGCCGCCTCGTGCGCTGGGTGGGTCCGGCAATGTTTCGCCACGGTGCCTCCCATCGCGGCTTCCTTGTCGCATCTAGCTTGCACCACGTATTCTGGACCACATGGCTTCCATCACATAGCGTGCATGTGCACATCCACAATTCGCCGGCCCAACGGGCCTGAGGCGAGCTAAGATCTCCGGTAATTGGATATGGATATTCTAGCTCGCGCGCGCAAG